AATAGTCCATATGAATAAATTCTTGTAGTTTCTAAAGTGGATGAGATGAGATATAACAAGTAATCCCTATAAATAATCTCAACTTTTAATTTTTACGCTTAATTTCTATTTAAAATTCACTTTTTATAGAGGTAATATATGGTCATGTACCATTATTGGCGGATAGTCTATATAGTTGGGATTATACAAAAATAATTAATAGTTGGGATTATTTTCAGCGGACCAGCAATAGTTGGGATTATTATTTTCAATTTTTCCTTATTTATATGATGATCTTTTAAACCCATATTTTGATTGCTTAATTATGCTGCATCTTGTGTCTGATTACCTTATGCGCATGCGGTATCTAACCAAATTGTTTGAACTATATATTCTAAAGGATGATGGGATATTAGTAATTCCTACTACGGCAGATCCTCCGTCTACACTACCTTCAAAGACAGGTTTATCTAAGGAAGGTTGTGATAGGGCCTTTTCTTTATTGAGCATTGCCAGCATTTCAGGCTGCTGTGAGGTACTTGAGTTCATAAAGAGTGTAACACTCAGATTTCACTCAAATAAGTATGCTTGCCTTGATGATGGATGGTAAAAGTTTATTGGTTTGAATCTCAGGCCGCTGTTCCATTTGGAGAGCATGATAATCATCCAGTTTCTGTGTCTTTCATTGCATCACATGGAAATGATAACTTTTTGCTTCATACTTTACTGGATATGCATTCTTCTCTTGATGAAGAAGTAACCACGGCGTCTAATGCATCTGTTTTACCAGAAACCATTCATAGCCTGGATGAATCTGAACTTTTGAAAGAAAAGGTTGTTCTCTAACTTTGCACTTCATTCTTATGTCATGAATTGCTGTGAAGGAAACTACATTTTTGAGATTCTTTCATAGTTGTGAGGTTCTCTTTTTATATTTCTTTCTTAGAATTATTTCCACTTAAAGTCCTCCAATTATGCCGTCAGGGACACTTTGTACTGGATTTTGAATTTTTCCACTTTTAGTCATTCAACTCTTGTGAGTAACACTTTTGGTACCGTATTTAAAATTTAAAATAATTCATATTTAGTCCTTCAACTTGTATAAAAATGACACTTTTAGTCATTCCACTAATATTTTGCTAAAATAAGTAAAGGACTATAAATGTCACTATGATAATAGTTGAATGACCAAAAATGTCAGTTTTACAATAACCAGAGGACCAAATGTGTAAAAGTTCAAAGTTGAGGACCAAAGATGCTCTCACAATATTCAAATGACTAAAAGTGGAAAAACTCAAAGTCTAGTACCAAAAGTGTCACCGACACAATAGTTGGAGGACTAAAAGCGGCAAAGACACTTCTCTCTTATTTAGGTCTCTTTTTATTATTCTCTTCTTTGGTGGCCCAGAAACAATTTCCCCCCTCTGTCGGTTTAAGAACTGATGGGAGCTTTGGATCATGTTTGTGAATCGTTGTTGGTAATTGGCAGGGAAATGCTGCTTACAAGGGAAGGCTGTGGAATAAAGCTGTGAGCTACTATACTGAAGCAATCAAATTAAATGAGACAAATGCAACTTATTATAGCAACAGGGCAGCTGCTTATTTGGAATTGGGATGGTATGATGAATATTTTTTGTGTGTTTTCATTGTTTGTTTGGGAGTAAAGATGTTATGTCAAGCATTTAATTTGTGTGCAGCTTTCGACAAGCTGAAGAAGATTGTGATAAAGCAATTTCTCTTGACATGAAGGTAAAAGGAAATTGTTTTGTATCTTTAGTACTACGTATAATACAATAATGAATTCCAAAAAATAAAAGGATCTTTAGTAGCCATGGCCTTTAAGTTGTGTTGGGTGCACAAGAGAAATAGGGAATAACTCAATAAAGAAAGAGTACAAATGAGTGCATCTCGTTTATTGTTTGGAACAGACCTCCTCTTAGCCTCTTGGTCCTATTAACTGTATTCATTATTCAGAAATTGTGTTTGTTCTAAGAACCCTTAATTTTCCTCGTGTAGAATGTAAAGGCGTATCTGAGACGAGGGACAGCTAAGGAGTCCCTTCTTTTGTATAAAGAAGCTCTTCAAGGTACGTCGAATATATGTTAGTTTACTATGGCATATGTTTTTCACAGCTTTTGGGGATGATTTCACTTTTCTAACCTACAAATTTGAAAACCACCTCCTTCTTTCAAATGCATTTTTATTTATTTAATATTTCGTATTATATGAATTTAAAGCTACCTAAACAAATGTAATTTTTTTGAAACATTCCAATCATAAGAAAATAAGTGGCATTTGTATTTTGAATTTCTATCCCAAGTATTTCTGTTGCATTTATATTTGTTTTATTTACAGATTTTAGGCATGCACATGTTCTGGAACCACAGAATAAGATTGCCGACCTGGCTGAAAAGAGACTGAGGAAGCTGATGAGTTACTGATGCTTTCATTTGTTAAGTGTAATGTTAAGACTATATATGATTTACATGAGAAACAAAGAAAGTGAAGGGAACACTACTTTTTACATACATGAAAGTTCTGTGCGGTGAAAGCGGTCTTGAAGAGCTCAGAAGTAGAATGTTGCATTAAATTCTCTTTTTTCACGGCTCGGCTGTCTGTACATTTGATGTAATGAATGACTATATATGATAAGGGGCAATTTTTTCATCTGCATTTTCTTTTTAAGATAATCTATTGTACAAAAAGTTTGTTTTTCTATATGTGATACTTATGAAACTATAGAGCAGACTTGGGGAGTTGTTTTAATGCTTTTTCTGTAAACTACTATAGCTCTTTCCGACATATTTTAGTGTTTGATCATGAAGTGCATAAATATGCGTGTGATTAAAAATTATTGTAAATGTGAATAATCGAATATTAAGGTGAATATAAACCCAAATCTAAGTAATAAATGTAAATATGATCATATACATAATACATGTTTAAAGTTTTCATTTGAATTTAATTTTGTTCGAATAGATAATAATGGGATATTTCTTTTGGATATAACTTTGATTAAATAGACACTTGTGACTTATGAGAACATTATATTTGTGGATATTAGTCTCCAGTGTTTAGTTGTTTACATGTTTAAGCGTCTTGAGTTTTCAAAATAACATGGATGCGATTATAAAAAAGTAGTTATTATGTGTACATAATTTTAAATATTAAAATTATTATTATGTCTAAATTAAATTACCTGAGTTCAATTTTTTACACCACATATCTAGTGCAGAATCAATATTATTTCTAATTAACAAGCAATGAACTATGTCATTCTGATAATTTTACATAAAAAGTAATTTGTAATGCCAAATTATCCAATATTATAAACTGATTCACTATTTCATACTCCGTACTACGTACTACAGAAGCATAAGTATTAGGGTCTGTTTGCAACAGCTTCTGCTTTTAAAAAAGTGCTTTTTTTAATGAAATGGGGAGAAGTGATTAAATAAAAGTTGATAGTGTTTGAGAAAAAAGTGATTTTGAAAAGTAAAAGTGGGTAGTGTTTGGTAAAATAAGTGCTTTTTGTGTAATAGAAAAAGTAAAAGCACTTTTGACGCGGAAGCCGAGAAAAATAAAAGTTGTAGTGTTTGGGAAAATAAGTGCTTTTTTAAAGCCAAAAGCTGAGAAGTGCTTTTTTAGAAGCAGTTGCAAACCAACCCTTAGTCTAGTATCAAAAGTTCCAGCTAGAAATATTTTATCACATCATAGAATACTTTGATTCTGACCATGTTCAAATTTGAAAAATATTTTTATACTACGTACGTTATATTATTTTCACCCGTATTATTGTCCCATACTCCCATTGTTGAGTATAGTACGTTCATGTGAGTCATGTGACTGGTAGTTAGATCAATTCCCCGCAACATAAATTATTTACGTATATATTATTAGGTACTCTAAACAATTGAAGAGTTTAATTGCTAAACATAATCAATTACATACTGGTCATTTTTTTTAAATATAATTAATAATAATATATAAACTTTGATAGTATATGGTATTATGGGTAAAGTATACAACTCCATTAAGAGGATTCATATCTAAGGTGGTGTTTGGGTCTGATTCTTAAAACTACTTCTGCTCTTTCAGGGAGCACAAACATAAGTTGGAGTGTTTGTGTAGAAGTTCAGAAGTACTTCCGGTGCCCTAATTTACTCCTAGAATCATCTTTTTCAGAAGTTGGGGGGAGATCAGCTTCTGAAAACTGATTCTGCTTCTGCTTCTGCTTTAAAAAAGAAGCAGAAACAGAATCAGTTCCAAACACCTCCAAGTATAACATTTGCTCCTGGACCAACCAACTGACCAACCCAAAGTACACATCCTGGACCAACCTTCTCATGAATTTAAATAGATTTAAAACTTCAACATTTTTAGTCATTTATTTGAAAACTAGTAATGAATTTGTGATATTGATAAAATGCAATGTGACAAGCAGGTAATGACGAAGGCAAGTATGCCATATGAAACAGGTTATACGAATGACCAAGTACTACCTCCTCTAATATTGAAACGAGAAGATGGTAGATACATAAAATTATTAATAAACATGAGTTTAAGTAATTGATATTGCATTGGTAAAATAAAGGCAAAATAATATTTTAGAATTACACAAATTTTACTAAATTTAATACATCCTCCGTTCTTAAATAAGTGCAACATTCTAAATTTTAGACTATTCACATGTTCTACTTTGACTACATTTTATTTACTTATTAATATATTTTTTATAAAAAAATATTACTAAACTTGTCTCATTGTAAATTTTCAAAATCTGATTTTTTAAATTTTTTTTACTAATAAAGAGTTATATATATTAATGGTCAAAGTTGTGTCTCGACAAATGTGAAATGTTGACTGTTGCACTTATTTAAGAATGGAGGTAGTATGAGACAATCATAATTAGACGAAACAAAAAGAAAAGATATAACAATTTTAGTGGGATCAAACGACCACGTAATAGCCAATAAGGCAACTTTTATGTTTTTGAGGAAAGACAAGGCAACTTTAATTAGTGATATTACACGATTAGAAAATTTGCCACACCCATCGAAGAGGAATTAGCATCGACGCCACACCCATCTTGGCGGAGAAGATGATCTTTCTCGGGTCGGATCGACCCATCTGCCAGGCATTCATGGCGTCGGAAGCGCTCCCATAGCCTGACAACCTTCGAACAAAACTTCGAAGGAGGAGTCCGCGTTGCATCTGGGCGACAAAAGCAAGAGCTTCTTAAACACTGCGGAAGCTTGCTATAGTTTTCTTGTGCGGAAGAACAGGAAAGGTCTGCGAAATTGGAGAATAGGGGAGGGTAAGAGGGAGAATTAATTGAGCAAGAGAACCGCTGATCGTGAAACGCTCCACTTTGCAGCGTATTGTTTTTCAGCGGTTGGGACGAAAACGCCTTGCAAACACGCCATCTGCCAAACACCTAATATTAGCGGTTTGACCGATTAAAAACGCTAATTTCAGTCAAATCAGCCAATTTTTGGCTGAAACGCCATTTACCAAACGGGGCCAATTTAGGTAGGATTCACTGCTCCCAGTTAGAAACAGATGACGCAACATAGAAGACTCACCGACAATGCAAGAGAGATAGCACCACAATTTAATTGAAAAGGTTGGTAATTTGATACTACGTATATAATATGTCATCATCTACAGATTTCAAGTCAGTTTCTTGGTTTTGAACTTTGTATAACTATCATTTTTGCAGGGTTTCCCTCGTAATGTTGAACCTGATATCTTGCTTTCTAAGTGTTCGATAAAATTCCTAATAGAAATTTAACAGTTTAATTATGTTGTTAACTGAATTTTACTTTCCAAACCAATTTTTCTTTTACAAAAAATAAGGTTCAAAATATAAGTTTTATTTAAAATCTTAAAATTAATAAAATCATTAGTAGAGAATATGGACAAAGATAAAAATGAGGAGGGGGAGAATTTTAAAATTTTGTTATACACCTTATTATGTAATTTTACTCTTTTTTTTGTTTATAATGTAAGCCTCAATATAAATTAATATTAGGACTGCACATCGGGCGGGTTGGGTCGGGTTTGCTATATTTTTTGGGCATACCTGATTTGTTCGGGTTGGCTATTAACCAACCCGCGGTACGCAAAATAAGTTGGTAAACCATGTATGAACAGGTCGGGTAGGGTCGGGTATTGGGGAAAAAATCACTTCGGGTTGCATCTTTTATATGGGAAATTAATGTAACCAATTTAAAACTCGATTAACTTGTTTCCAAAACACACAAACAAATACAAGTACTCGTATCTTTTACAAGCACAACATTAGGTAATAGTATTAAAACATCTTTCTGTAAAGGAAGTTCATTTAGAAGGAAACGTAAATATATAATAATCACCTAGTTAAAATGATAAATGTTTAATTATAATTCTAATATCATAAAATCCTAGATAGAGCATATTGGTCTTAAATTGAAATTATCCAAGAAAACGTTGCAGACTTTGCAGCATAATAATAGTAAAATGAACTTCGGCCGGGTCGGGTACTATCGGGTTTGAGATTTTAATTCCCCAACCCTACCCATTAGGTGCGGGTTAAAACATATTTAACCCATGAATATTTTAAAAAATCAAATACCCGATTAAATAGGGTCGGGTAGGGTTGGGTCGGACGGGTTATGCGGGTTCGGGTTATTCTTGTGCAGCCCTAATTAATATGGCATCAGAACAGTAGCTCAGGCTGCATCCCTCAACTCAGCTGGGAGAGGCATGTTCTTATGCGAAGAGAATTGTCTCAAAAAGAGGGGGAAAGGTCCATACTTAGTCAGTGATTGTAGGCTCATAAAGTTAGCATGCTTTACTTTCTAGCTATGTAGCATGGAAATGGGAAACGCGAAACGGGAAACGTAATTTCTAAAATATATATGATAAGAAACGTAGGGGAAACATGTAATTATTAAAAAATGTAAGGATACATCTATAAATACTTTTTCATATGTGTACATAATTTTTCCATGTAATTTGTTTAATAACCCAATAATAAAAACATTCACATGTTCAAATTTTAAAATCACAAAATATTAGTATATAATTAAACATAAAATGAAATAAATTTCTAGCAATTCATTGTGTTACAAAATGTCACAATATTGTGAAGAAATACCACAACAATTCACTATGTTTTTTTAAAAAGACACTATTTTCCATCACAAAATCTTTTAAGAAACAGAAAACTTGGAAACCGAAGGTTTCCGAAATGCTAACTATTTAGGGAAACGAGTTTCCCAATTCTTCTTAATTATGTAAACGGCCACAAAACGGGAATGTGAAATTTCCGAAGTATCGAAACAAGGAAACCTAAGCCGTTGAGAGTTTCCGTGCTTCATAACTTTCTAGTTATCTACGTAGTATTATATTTTTATATATTTGGTTAATGTATTAATTCCAATCTTCTATATTTTGCATTTTGCATTTTCTTATATATTACCTCCGTCCTATGTAGTATTAGACATTGCCAAGAAGCTGTTCTCTTCACCTGATCTGAATGTTTCTGATATGAATTTGTTAAGTTCTGATCTGATCTGATCTGATCTGAATTTTTCTGATCTGATCTGAATCTTTCTGATATGATCTGAATGTATCTGATCTGATCTGAATGTTCCTGATCTGATCTGAATGTTCCTGATCTGATCTGAATATTCCTGATCTGATCTGAATGTTCCTGAATATTTCTAAAATTATAATTACAATTATAATTACTATAATTATAAATGTAATTACACATATATAATTTAAATATAATTATAATTATAATTATAATCATAATTATAAAAATTATAATTATAATTACAAACATAATTATAATAGGTATAATTATTATTATACGTATTACACTAGTTATAAATATAGCTATAATTATAATTGTAATTATATTTATAGTTATATTTATTTCTATAATTATAATTATAATATTTATTTCTATAATTTTAATTGTAATTACTCCGTATAATATGATAATAACGAAAACAAAACTAATAACAATAACAACAACAACCATATTAGTAGTAAGAATAATAATAATCATGATAATAATAAATATCATAATAATAATAATAATAATAATAATCATAGTAATCATAGTAATAATAAGAATAATAGTAATAATAATTATAATAATTATAATAATAATAATAATAATAACAACAACAACAACAACAACAACAACAATAATAATAACAATAATAATAATAATAATAATAATAATCATAATAATAATAATAATAATAATACTAATAATAATAATATCAATAATAATATTAATTATACTAATTACAATAACAACAACAAGAATAATAATAATTGTAATTATTATAATTATTATAAATATTATTATAATAAAAAGGATAAATCATGTATGAACTTTTCTGATCTGATCTGAATGTTCCTGATCTGATCTGAATGTTCCTGATCTGATCTGAATGTTTCTGATCTGATCTGAATCTTTCTGATCTGATCTGAATGATTCTGATCTGATCTGAATCTTTCTGATCTGATCTGATCTGAATAAAATAAGAATAAGCAATAAGTAATAAGATTAAGACGAACAGAACAGCACCCAAGTTAGGTAAATAAACAGAAAAGTAAAAGTTGTGTGGTTGAAATTTGTGCAGAGGAGAGAGAAATGAATCGAACCTCTAATTAATGACTTCAAAGAGAAAGTGTTAAAGTTTTTGGACAAACAAAAAAGAAAAATTGAAAAAATTCAATGGGACAAATGGGACCGAGGGAGTGTTATTTTAGTGATTATTTTCCTCTTCTTAGATGACTCTTCTTTGTTCTACTGGTGGATTGATCAAAACTGCAATTTGCATTTTTACTTCAACAAGTTAATTGTTTTTTCCAGCATGCAGTGTGATTGAATGTAATTCATGAGGCGTTGGACTATTGGATTTCAGTTAATAGTTTATACTCGTAATATTTACTACGTATTACTTTAATCATGTAGTCGCAGATTATTGTATAAAACGTGATGCTTATTTGCTCTTAACTCTTAAGACCTAATTTTGTAAAATAAACATCAACTTTATTGGAAGCAGAATCGACCTGACATAACATGATTATTAGTTGTGATTTTGCAGCTAAATCTCATCAGTATAGTTCAATTTTTTTGAACGGGTCCAAAAAAACAAGAACAAAGCCAGCCGGACCGGCCATGTGCATCCTCAAGATTCTCCGCTTCTCGTCTCGTAGTTCAATCTTGTCTCCCTCCCCACCCTTTGCGTATACCCAAAAGCAGAGCTATGTTAATGTGTACATGAAGTGGAAGCAAGATGTATATTTGGAATCAATTGAGTCGGTTCACAAATCCATTGAACTAAGGCCCATAATCGCCCTCAAAAACTACATAGTTTCTGCCTCACCTCAAGAGTATTCCATCCCCATTTCTTCCGTTTCCAAGAAGGGATTACAGTTTGGAGTGCGCATTAAGGTTGCCAGGTTCTTGAGACAATACCCTTCTGTTTTCGAGGAGTTTACTGGCCCCAAACACCACCTTCCCTGGTTCAGACTGACCCAAAGAGCCATTGAGATCCACAAAGAGGAAAGAGATGTTTACAGAGAATTTAAGGATGATCTTGTATTGAGGTTGAAGAAGTTGATCTTGATGAGTTGTGTTGGTTTCGGTGAGAAAAAGGTCCTTCCTTTGAAGATTATTCAGGGTATGCAGTGGTATCTGGGACTGCCTGATGAATTCTTGACAGAACCCGAAAAGAATCTTGACGGATTGTTTGAGGTTGTGGAAATGGGAGATGGTCTGAAAGGATTGGCATTAAACTGCAATGGGAATGAAAGGGTATTGACTGTGCTGCAAAAGAATGCAATAAAAAGAGGTGAAGGAAAAGAAACCATTTCGTTCCCCATATTTCCATCTAAAGGACTGAGGTTGAGGAGAAAGATTATAGATTGGTGGGATGAGTTCCAGAAGCTTCCTTACGTTTCTCCTTACGAAAACTACTCAACATCATATATAAGGCCTGATAGCGATGAAGCCGAGAAGCGAGTGGTGGGATTGCTTCATGAATTGCTATGCTTGTTTGTGGAGCATTCTGCTGAAAGGAGAAAGCTTTTGTGTCTAAGGAAATACTTGGGTCTCCCACAGAAGGTTCACAAGGCGTTTGAGAGACACACTCACATTTTCTATCTGTCTTTGAAGAACAAAACGTGCACGGCAATACTAAAGGAGGCTTACTGTGACAAAGGGGCTATAGAGGCACATCCTCTAGCAAAGGTGAGGAAGAAGTACATCGGGTTGGTGAAAAAATCTGCCTTTATTTTGAAAACTAGAAGGTTTAACAAGACGGCACATAATGGGAGTGTGAGTGTAAATCAAATAGATTGCGCAGATGATGATGAGATTGAGAAGACTGAAAGTTTTGAAGCTCCAGTCTGAAACTGAAGCTTCTTCGCTAGTGAATTTACAAGATAGAAGTTAGTTATTGTGCAAAAGTGTTCACCAGAACTCGTAGACAATTCAGATGCACGGAAGGCAACATTCTATTATTCCATGTTCTCAATCAGTGAAATGTGGTAAACTTCCTTGCCTGTAATTTTGTAGCAGCCTTTCTCATTCAAGTTTGCTGCATTTAGCTTGATACCCAAGAAGACAAAAATTATATCAATATTCAACATGATACAGACAATATTTTATACCCACACAAAAATTTCAGCGAATGTTCATCTCTAACTTTATAATGACAAAGAAAGATAAAAAGAGAAGGAAAGATGATGAAGATGCAAGAAAGAAGAAAGAAGAAAGGAGGCTATCTATATCTATATACATAGGGATGGGTAAAAATATATTTAGACCCTTATTTTGGTGTGCCAAAAGTATATACAAGTACACCTAACCTTTTTTGTGAAAAGATGCATATGGGTCATTTCAGTTGGGTAGAATCGGTTGGTTATGTTGGGTTCCTACCCAACCTCGTAGCCAATTTTAAAATAAAAAACCGACATCAGAAGATTCAGAACTAGTCAGTCTCTAAGCAGTCGTCAAAATTTTGATGACACCCTTAAAAGTGTACAACTCTTCTAATGTTTGTATTCTCGAGTAGCGTAATCATAATAAACAAACACGCCAAATCTAATGAAAATAAAGAGTAACAACTTTATCAGTGAACTGAACCGAGTCCACATCCATCTCACTCGATATTTCATCTCAAATGAACTCCTAAAACACTTTTCAGACTGTCAAATATCATTGCAGTTCATTAGGAAATTCAGGTGTCACAATATCTGATTTGGGCAACATACAAGGAATAATTTACAAACTGTGATTGCATTCATCAGAGTGAATACACATGGAAAATTCATAATTATCTCCCAAGAATTTAGTATGTTATCCTAATAAATTGACCCGGATGGTCAGATCATCATTTTCAGCCTAGGGTAAGCCTGGATTCCACCAACATATGTAGCTTGGACTGAAGTGGTTGTAGATCCTCCACTATCACTTATTGCAAAGAATGAATCCCATGAATCCGCAGACAAAACCACAAAATCTGCCAACTTTCCAGGAGAGAGGGACCCGATGTCTCTCTCAAGGAAGCACGCACGTGCAGCTGAGATTGTGTACCTGTCACATGTTGAATTCTTAAGGTCTCACTTTCACGATTCCTATGTTCTTCTGGTTTCTCCTTATTATGTCCAAGCCAGAAGAAAAAAAAAAAAGAGAGAAAGTATATGATCATACGCATCAAGTGCCTCCTTTAGGCTTAAGCGTTCTGATGGAATCCATGCTGTCCCCTTATGTTGTTTACGACCTGGAAGAGAAGGTATTCTTTTCATTGCCGTTTCAATGCTTCCCAGTGGATTTATATCGGCTACCTAAAAACAAGAAGATATTGATGATGAGCTACAGAAGAGAACTATTATGGTAAAAGTAATGCTCCAACTTGATATTGTTTTTGCAATTTGCATACTGGCCAATCAGAGCCAAATGCTAGTTGTGCATTGTTCGTGAGGAGTGACTTGAATAAATAGGATCCTCCCTCTGCTCTTTTCCGCCCAAGCTTCTTAATTGCAGAATCGGCATCATCCAGCAAGTGATCCGGCTGTTTTATGTCAATTGGAAAATGATGTAGTAAAGAACCAACAACACTAGCAAGAAAACTAGCCTGGCAGATCTATACCCCACTTTACATATAGTCATAAAACATAAAGTAAGAAGGTAAGTAGTAAATCAAATATCAATCAAGGAATCATTAGACCCCTGAAATTATGCTTAGGTAGGTATCCAGAACCCATGCTAATGAGATCCCTGTCCTTGATTGCATCAGAAATGCAACTATAAGTGGCATTTGTAAACGAGAAAAAAAATGTAAATGGTAGTGCATATTTGGTTAAATTAAATAGATAAGGTATTTTTAACTGCTCTGAAGTCACCACTATAATTCTTTACATGTTTCGTTCGCAATAAGAAATCCAGACCAGCATTTTCCTGCTAGATGAGAGTATGAGACTGACTATATGGATCAAGCACCAACATTCATTCTCTTTCCTGAGCCTATACTCATGAGGTCTCATCGCCTAACTGTCTCTAACCAAGTCTACATGGAAAAGGCCAAAAGAGGAAAACATTTGGCCTGTGTTTACTCCTGATGATTAGTCCACAATTCTTAGGGCTGTGTTTAAGCATTAATGAGAGATTAGTACTTGTATTTTTGTTGGGAATGCTACATGTGAATAGCTTCCCTGTTATGATTTAGTTAGTTTTAAAAAAATTGTCAAGAATATTCTTCATCCATTAATGCTTAGACATAGCTCTGAATCTCTGATGGCTGCGGACTGTCGTAGCCTACATCTATTCATGATTAAATTTTCCTTTTCTCCTTTAAGAGCCCAATAATTTTCAGAACACCAATCATTTACAACCCCAACAAAAACTATCAGTGAATAGAATTTGTAAAATAAGGCTTCATTTCTAAAATTTGGTGAATCACCCATACCATAGAATTGAATTATATAGCATTGAAGAATGTAAATAGGAACCTGAACTGACGCAAATATAGCTTGTTCACCAAATCGTGCTGCGGTCCCAGTGGCCAAATGTTGAGCATGTTCAATCTGCAAGTAGTTGTTATAGTTTCTAGTGAAAAGAAAAAACGTTCAAGATAGTCATTTTATTATTACTACTCGGCTAATGAGGCACCGTGAGAAAGCTAGAATTGGACTAGAAAACTTCTCAGCGTTATCAGTTGTTCGGTTACCCTAAACCGTCGATCCGTCTTTTGATTCTCAGAAGCCACTGAAGCATACATATCCAAGATTAAATCATTGGCTCTGTCACCTATGGCATGAATGGCAACCTAGAAATATAAAGATATTATATCATGTCAGAATAGTGCATGATTACCAACATTAAACAGAATAAGGTCAATGTAGAATGACAGAGCACCTGAAGGTTAGATTTATCTGAAGAAAGAGTCATGTTATATAGCTGATCCATATCCACTACTTGTAGTCCATAGTTGTGAGGCTCATCAGCATATGGCTTAGATACAAGAGAGTAACTTCGTGCATTTTAATCAAGATAATGTCTTAAAGATGCACTTTTTGAGAGGGGTGACATAGGAGAAAATTAGAGCGGACAAATGATTTAATTCTGACCTCATAAAAGAGTGCACTGTTAGATCCCAAAGATCCATCCGAAAAAGCCTTCACACCACCTAAGTGAATCCGTTGGCTCAAGCTATGACCAACCTTCTTTACCAAACCCTGAGGCATAGGTGTGAAAAATTACTGTTCACATAAATAAATATATGAGATCTGTAATAAGGTTTTCCATAACACAAAATAGAAAAAACATTTTTCACTTGATGGGAAAAACATAAGACAACTTCTATCTACAAAAGTTTTGTTGTGGTATTGTGTTCTTTTTTCTTTGGCATCCCTATTGAGTATAGTAAATACTCAAAAATCTCTCTATATTTACAGCCACGCAGAGCGCCCTCTTGTGCTGTTCATAAAACACATGAGGTCCTTTTACAAAGTACCAACTTAAACGGACCCATAAGTCAGTTAATTATATTATTCCCTGTATACCTCCAAGCGTGCCCAAGTCTCCAATGGAAAGAATAGGCAAACACGGATCACCATATTCCCTGACGAATCAGCCCATTGGTACACATCTGCAAATATCAGGTCCAACATATAGAGTTAACACCTCTACAATGAACCAGAAGAGTCATTCTATGGGAGTGTTTGGGATTGCTTCTATTTTTTTAAAAAGGTGATTTTTAAAGTGATATTAGAAAAAATACTTATAGTAAAAGTTGGTAGTGTTTGAAAAAAGTGATTTTGCAAAAGTAGAAGTTGGTAGTTTTTGGTAAAAAGGATTTTTTGTGTAGTAGAAAAAGTGAAAAGCAGTTTAAAACACCCCTCCACCACCTGTTTCCAGCTTTTAGCTTTAAGAGTTATGCTAGAGGTACAAAAAATCTTACAAAAGTTGTATGTGGCATCATCACATTATTTAACACATCACATCACTTTTATAACACTTTTGCATCAATGGTAATTAGAATAGCCACATCACTTGTTTGTAAGTTTTTTTGTAAGTGTGTTTGTACTTCTAGCATTTTTCTAGCTTTAAATGCTTAATTTAAGGAGAAGTTGTCACTTGAAAACGTCAATTTCAGCTTTTTTAAGAAAAAAGTTGAAAAGCACTTTTTTAAGCATTTGAGACCACTCCATGTACAATAGAAGCAAGTTTTTTAATCAGATTTTTATCTAATGATGATGAAAATATGCAATCACAATTCTGTTGTCGAACATGATGAAAAACACATGTTCAATAAATTAATGCAAATACGTTTTTGTGTGTGTTTGCTTTAATTATTGTTCACTACTTTTTGGTGTGATTTTCAATGACAAAGTATGTTTAAGATTTTAGAGTATGATAAAGCATTTTTTGTGAGTGTTATTACTATAATTAAAGAGTTAAAGACGAAGAGCACATGGCTGCACATAACTAGATATAACCACTACAACGGTGTAGGTGATGTTTTAGATATATTATCTGAACCTGAAAGATCCTCCCATGGAAGTTCCGCACGCGAACCAGGAAAATATCTCCCAAAATCAACAACTGTTGTCACACCCCTCATCACTGCAAGATTGCTTGCTGATAAAAGAGCTTTCCTCCTTTCATCAATGGAAGGTTCAGGTATGCAGGACAGCACAAGCTTCATTGCAGAATCTATCACCAACCCAGTAGGTTCTGCACATGATATTACAAAATAGAATAATAATTACATTTGGCTTATTTGAGAATCCAACTGTGGTCATTAACTTCATAATAAGAAATTGAAACACAAGAATGAAGTGATTCATCTCTTTTGTGCTTATTAAGGACCTGTCTTGGATGGTTGCAACTTTTCAGTTTTTTTTTTGTTTATAATTTTAAAAGTTACAACTTACTAGTTACATGGTATGTGATGTGTAATAAATCAAAACTACTCATGCTTGTACTAATCATGCTTATTATGGAATATGTCAACCAAAAACTGAAAAACAATTGTTCTGGTTTCCAAATTTTGAAATTTAGTTTTCAGAAAAACAGAAAACAAACACCATCCTGAATGCCTTAACTGTACTAATATTAGTTCCCTGTTTTGCTATCTAGTGAACAAGAGGCAAAATAGATATTGAGATCACCCCCATCAATGTCTTTCATTATAGCTCCTCCATTTATATCCTGTGTGTCATGAGAAATTCCAGCAATACTCAGTGCCAAAGAGTTAGCCAAGCCCATATGCCCATCCATTCTTGATAGCCAAACCTGGGCATGATGTAAAGAATGAAAAACGTGCCTAATCTGGCTTTCTAAGCAAATGAATACATTGTCAATATTAGTGCATAGCATTAATTAATTGAAGTAAATTTTCTTACAGGATTATGAGGTGTAATATCATCAATCCAAGAAGCCATTGGCAAATCTCCTCCCCAAAGATCATTGTTCCACCCACCACCCAAAATCCAAGTTCCAGGTTTTACATCTGGCCAAGTAGAGTAAAATATTGGTCATGAGAATTGAATCATCATAAGGTGCAAGAATGAAAAGAACATTTACTTGTGACTGCTTCCTTAACTTTGCTCACAAAAAGTTCTCGTCCATCAACACCACGGAGTTCTACTCGATCCATCTATTTCAGTTTCATTTTTAAAAGCACATATTCCAATCAAGATAAACATAAAATAACATGAGAAACACTCGACGACTATAGGGTATCTAACAAGCAACAAAAGCTTATACGCAGTCAGTGAAATACCACAGTTTGCAAAATATGTAAAGTGAGCGATCTTAGGAACTGATATGAGACCAACCTGCAACCCTCCGGAGATAAAGTGCACATGAGAATCAATAAATCCTGGAACAATAACTTTCCCTTCTACATTAAGCTGCTTAGTCCCAGTTCCAACCAACTCCTGTGTTCATATTTACACCATTTTAAACTGAATTTACAAGCCACAAATCATGCTTTCAAATGCCACAAGTACTTGGATGCAATTCAATTGAAATTTTGGTAATGAAAGTGCACAAAATGTACATTACAAATTCAGTAATCATTAAGCCCATGCAATTTGAAACATGACAAAGCAAAAATATGGTCTAGTGTTATGTCTCCATGAGAAGGCTCGAGCCATAGGGCAATTTTCACTTCGAAAAGGGGTCATGGACCTCCAGGTTTGTGTATAATGGGGATGTAGGTTGCTGGTTGCATAGTGAAAGATATGAGATAATCCCAGTCTGGTCACAGTTTAGGTATCTTCTTTCTAAAATTTATAAGTACATGATACAAATACTAGATTAAAACTGACCTTACAAAACACAAGCATGAACAAGCTATATGAATGTCTATTAAATGAGATCATATGTGAATTGCAAGAGATGAAATATAGAGAAAAGTATTTATCAATCACAGAAATACGAATGAAGTAACACAATTTCTTTATATGTCATTTCATGCATTCAGACAACTAATAGTTAATCACTATTATTAAAAAAACTCTACATTAATAACAAGGTTGAAGAACAGGTCAAAACAATTAAACAATTAATATAAATGGCTAACTTCAATCGACTAATGGCTAATGAAAACAACTAATTGTCAAGCACGCCCAGACTCTAACAGAGTTGAATCATTTGATTACAAAGGACTCGATGTCTCAAGGCAGTACCTTTCACCGCAGTATAATAGCTTTGTGGAACATTCATGCTCATAATAGAAGTGATTTAAATGAAAAAACGAGAACCTACTCAAATGAAAGTTGAAATTGAACTTGATGCAACTCTGCAAGTATGAAACATTGCAAGACGAGGTGTACCATGGCGAAATTAATAGTCAACGAGGTTGAACTGTACCAGCTAATTTTAGACGAAAACGAAGATTTACAGATATAATAAACCCATAAAGAGAGAGAGAGAGAGAGAGAGAGACCAGATTCGACTACCTGGATTGATGAATATGTACCGACTCGGAGAATCCTACCGCCGCGAATGGCCATGGAGTCGGCAAAGGGGAGAGTTTCGTCGCTGGTGTAAATGGTGGCATTTCGGACCACTAAGTCTGCGAAGTGGGAATGTATGCGAAGGTTTTTGCGATGGAGAAGAGGGAGTGAGGCTATGGAGAGAAGGGCGACCAGCAAAGCAGATAGAAGGAGCCTCAGAATATCCATTTTCTTCCTAACCTTCACGGCTCCTGTAATGGCGCCACCGAATAATAATCTTTCTATATACAAAAAGAATATAAACAATATGGGGAAATAAAAAGTATAAACAATATAGTGTCAAAAAGTATGGAGAAGGTGGAAAAGTAGGATATAGAAGATAAAAAGGTAGAAAAAATAAGGGTAATTGAATATTTTTAAAGAAAAAACTTACCAAAAAAGGAAAGTGTAACAAACTTTTAAATACATTCCAAAAAGAAAAGTGTAAGAATCTCTTAAATACGGAGGGAATATACAAAAAGAAGAGGAATGCCCGTTAACCAAGCACTCCAGCCTAGCTGGTTACGGGTTTATCGTGCCTAGTGGGAGGTCTCAAGTTCGAATCCCGCTAGGCACACAAGGGTTTGAAACTCAATGGGCTAAGTTTCAACCCTGATTACTCCAGACTCCCCAAGCCCCTCCCCAGACCTCCCTGGAGTATAAAAAAACAAAAAAACAAAAAAAACAAAAAAAAGGAAGAGGAATGCCTGCCACTGTTTCCGTCCATTTTTTCTTGTCAAAAAACGGGTCAAATAGATAGGAATCATAGGATTCGGTTCTAGATTTGGAGCCGCATTACTTATTCATTTCAAAAAGTCTTGGTGTACGCCCTGGGGTACACCATATATAAGGCCAAATTTTTTTTACCCCATCCTCCCATTCGAAAAAACCCGTCTCTCTCCCATTCGAGAATCCTCACCCCTTTCCCGCATCCCAATCGTTCCCAAAGCTTCCCGCTCGGCCTTCCTCACCCCCCTTCCTACTCCGCCTTCCTCATCCCCCTTCCCGCTCCGCTTTCCTCATCCCCCTTCACACAGCTTCCGCTTCCTCTTCGTTTGTCCTGGTCCCGATTCTGCAGATGTCAGCAGTCCAGATTCCTCCATCCCCTCTTCATTCTCCATCCACACAACGAAGCGGAAGGTGCGTGAAGTAAAGGCGAAGACCCCAGGGAGAAGACGCCATTGTTGAATACCCCAGAATTACGAACATGGTGCGAACCAGTCTGTCCGAAATGGCCGAACGGTATGCATGAAGTCATATCTCGATCTTTTGTGTTTTATTTTGTGTTGTTTAAGTAAAAAAATAACAATTGGTTCATCATTAATCGGTTGTGTGTGACTTTCAATTGCAGTGTTTGTGTGACCCTGGAGTTTACTTAGTAGCAGTGTCATGTGCACCGTTCATATTTGTGTGTTGGAACTGAACTGTTTGTGTGCACCAATAGATTTGAGTACGAGTTGTCTGTGAAGCCGTTGTGTTAAATTAGCTAACTATATGTGAACTATAAATGAAAATAGTTGTTCTTTGAAGGGTCATACATTCATAATTATTTTGTTTTTGTTTTTGTGGGCTTACGTTTCAGTTTAATAAAATCGATTTGACTTTGGGTTGGACATGTAAATAATGAAGAAGTTATAAGCAAAAAACCGATGGTGTGTTGGAACTGAACTGTTTGTGTGCACCAACAGATTTGAGTACGAGTTGTCTGTGGAGCCGTTGTGTTAAATTAGCTAACTATATGTGAACTATAAAAAAATAGATGTTCTTTGAAGGGTCATATATCCATATTTATTTATTTTTGTTTTTGTAGGCTTACATTTCAGTTTGATAAAATCGATTTGACTTTGTGTTGGACATGTAAATAATAAAGATATTTCAGTTTAATATTCACTTTAGTACTTGTACTTTCCACATAAAAAATTCACTTAGTGTTAGCACTCTAATGGTGTCACTTCATTTAAATAATCACTTAGTGTCAGCATGCTTTAACTACGTAAAGGTGTGCATTGTGCAGCTTTGTTGAGTTGAATCCTTGTGTATGAGCATATTCTGTACATTGGCTCCGTGGTTTTGAATTTACTTGTCTTATGAAAAAAGAACATATATAATGCCAACGACTTAGAATCATCTCTCTTAAACCTAACTTTCAAGACTTAGATGGTAATGAATTAGTTTTTGGGTTTCATATCAATAACAGGCACACATGGTCTTCATTGGAATAGAAGTTTATTCAAATCTACTTTAGCATTGTAGTGAACCTGTTAGTGATATTCAATATAGCTTTGGTGATATATTTTTGTTCTCAGATTTATTGTTATGACAAAGTTTTGTGCCTCTTTCATGAGAGACTAGGTGAAGTAAGCTATATCTAACTATTGTAGGGGTGTTTGTTGAAGCAAGTAAGCTAGGTTCTTGAAGGTTTTGTGAATGCCTATGAACTCCAGAGAGATATCTCACCTCACCTATTTTAGGTATTGACTTCAGAATTCGGATGCAAAAAAGTAGTTGTCAGGCTATCTTAACATGTAGCATCATAACGTGAATGTGATTTATTTTACTTGTATTTGCATATTTCAATATGATATGCAAATAATTTTTTTTAAATGAGATGCCTTCCCTAGGTATGTTTTAAAATAAATTGATTCTGGATTTTATACCTATTTCATGAGTTCATTCACTCTATGGGTTTAGAAAGGTATATCATGTTAAGGAAGCTCTATGTACTCCAATAGATTCTGGATATGAATTGATGACTTCTAGGATTCTCACTTCTCTTCAATATGTGCCTTGTTTAATCCCTCACATGCTTGAATAATTAGATACTATTTCATTTGTGATTTGAGCATAAAATCTAATGCGACTTTTTACCATGTTTCTTTCTGAAAAACAGCGCTTGGAGACCTTAACTCTAGTATTGCCCGCAGCCCCGCAGACAAGAAAAACACTCACGGATGACAATCAAAGCTATAGACTCTTTGGCTCAGTGGAGGAGTGATTATATATTATGTTTAGGAAGCTATTGAATAGATTTTATTTGTAGTAGCGTTTAGTACTTGTGCATAATTTACTTGGATATTGTGATATTTTATTGGCATTGAAGTTTGAGAATGTTTCTATTTTAAAGATAAATAAAAAGCTGGCTTGGTGTTTTTATTATTTATCAATATTTACATTGTGAAGATCAATATTTATAAAATAATGAAGATACTAAAGTATCATAATATTTTGTGATGTGTTGCTATCATTAACGTAAATGATATTGATGTATCAAGATATTTTGTTTCGTTATAGCATCACAAATATTGTGGTTACTTGAACGTCAAAACATATGGTGATACATCAATGTCAGTATGTCACCATTTCTTGACATTTCATCTATGACACTAAAGTTAGTGTCACCATTTCCGACCTATTGTGACGAATGTTTTGTACTTGCTATTATGGTGTCTACACATATGTTTGTGATTTGTTCATATTGCCTGTGTACACCGAAAGTAATGTCTGTAGTTGTTATTATTGTCTGTGTGCATCGACAATAACATCTGTGCAGTTTTTATTATTGTATGTGTGCATTGACAAGACTTCAAATAAATATAAAGAAGGGTGATTGATAGCATATGTACATACATATGAATGTGTTTTCTCTTAAATTGCACTGACACATATGTTGCATTTATTTTTCTAACACCCGAGAAAAATTCGAAGCAAGTCAATGTTCCTGAAGTTGGAGATGACGTGACAACCGCAAATGTTGAAGACTTAGATTTGAACATGTCATTCAGTTTTTTGTAATGTAACACAAATTGTCTTTACTTTTTTTTATACTTTTGTTACTCAAATGCAACTTGTACTACTACACAAACAATTTCTATTATTACACAGACAACTTCTATTATTACACAGACAAGTGTAGTACTACACAGACAACTTATGATGTCATACCCACAATTATACTCCGTATTAAACAAAACACATACACAATGTCATGAATTCATTATATTTAATTGGCCAAGTGTCAAAACATTTTATAAGTAAAAAATGAGCAATAAGTGTTAATTGGCTTTCCTCTTCAAACGCCAGAGCCAACAAAGCTAACAGACAAAAATTTAAAAGTCATAGACAACTAATATGAATCTGAGAGACAACAATATTACTCATGCACAACTATTTGAAGCTCATAAACAACTAACATAAAGCTTACAGACAACAATATGAACGTCACATGCATATGATATGAAGATCACAGACAACTCCAATTCCAATTATGTTTGCAAAATAACACTTACAAACCAAATGGATTCATCAATCTCTCATTTTTGTATATAACTCACACAACAAAAATCTTTACACTTTGTTAATCTCACATAACAACTTAAATATTACTACAACTCAAACCATATTGCCACACAAACACTTAAAAAGCAAATATTGTATGTGTACACCTACAAAAACACTACTAGTCCGTTCACACCGGCACTAGTTGTCAGTACAATCACTCAAGAGGCTTTCATTCGTCTGTGCACACCTACATATGTACACTAGTTGTCGGTATAGTCAGAATGCATAGATCTCAACTCCATGGTGCTTAGAAAATTTGGTTACAGGGCTCGTAGCTATTCTGTTCTTCCAAACCTTCATTCACAGCTATGTCTCCTTCATATCTCGCAGGATCATCGTTCATAGCTCCGTCATTAGCTTGCACCTCCAAGTATGTCGTTAATAGCTTTGCCGCCCGTGGTTGTGTTGCTCGTCGAAGCTAGATTTCCGGTCGGAAATCCACCTGGGTTCGCACATTCATATCTTCCGGCTAATTCGTCGAGGATCAAAAAGGAGAAAAATCCTCCATTGAAATTTTTAAAAAAAATGACATGGAATTGGGGAGAAGAATGAAAAGGAGGTTAACAGTGGGTTACGATTTCTGTCTTGCTTCGCACCCATATTCGTCCGCTCATCTATCCAAAATCAAATCTGCAAGAAAATTGCCACTCAAATAAAAAGAAAATTAAAGAAAAAATGAAGGTAAAGAGAAAGATTGTATCGTAACAGAGAGGAAAGAAGAGAATAGGGGAGAGGCTAAGATGAGTAAGGAGGTAAAAGTGCAGTAAAAAAATAGATCTATATATATGGTGTACCCCAGGGTGTAACCCAGGGTGTACACCTAGACTTTTTGTATTCATTTTGTGGTTTGTTTAGTCCGATGCAAGATTCTCCCAATGAATGCAAAGTAAATACTACCTTCGTCCCTTTTATATTGGAACGAAAGAGGCTGACACGAGTTTTAAGAAAAGTGTGTTTATGTGGTAGATATTAATTGATAAAGTAAGAATGATTTTGAACCACACAAACTTTACAAATATGGTATGAGACCATTTAAGTGGGACTTCCCGAGAAGGTAAAACGAGACAATATAAGGGGGATAGATGGAGTATTTGTTTAGTCCAATGCAAGATTTTCCATTGAATGAATTTAGATTTTATCCACCAAGCCTTTGTGGTCAAATGAATTCAATGTGAGCGGTTGAACATTTATTGAGGTGCTTGAGCATAAATGAAGGTGGTTAGGGTTTAAGGTCATGAAAAATGTTTGAGGTACACAAAATGTGTACATAAAATGTGTACACATGTCTATCCTTCACAGAAATTTGTCTGTCACATACAACTCTTGCAAGTCACAAACAACTTGGATTACCCTATTAATAGATTGCAACCCTCCCTCCGAAACCAAGGCTCACCTAACCATGGCAGCAAGCACATAAAATGAGAACGAAAGTAATAGAGGAAATTTGTACTCCATGATCAACGAGGATGACCACACTAGGTCAACATGGCCCTTGAAAGTACGGGTTGTAAGGGCTTTTGAGATGCCTCCACAATCAAAAGGTGGACAACGAATGGAGATCCGTTTTTCATGATGATGAGGTAGTTTATCTTAGTCGATTTTTTATTCACTTTAAGTTTAAGCCGATTTTATTACATGCTACATTTAACATGCATTAATTTTAATGGTAATGTAGGGTGACAAAATACATGCATTGATTAAGAGGCCGTTCATGCACCTTTACAGATTTAGACGGGTGGAGAACAAATGCTACAGAATCAATAATTTCTCGGTGCTGGACAACTACTATTTTCTTGCTAATACTTCTGTTCTGGCTCATTATTGTCCTAAGCACTCACTAACTAATCCACTAAAGAAGGAATCGTACCAAAGCTTAAAGGACTTTGCTGGACCTTTAAACCTTGAGGACTTAACTTTAACAAAACGTTAAATTTTTAAATTCGTGAGTCGGAATATGCAATAATTGGTATGAGTAAAGCTATGTTCTCGGAGATTTACTTAAGATGATTATGATAGATCTGACACATAATTTTTTAGCCCATTTTGGTTTGGTTATAATTAATAATACAACTTTGTAATTTCAGAATCTAACTAGTTGTAATTTCGATGATAAAAAAAACTAGTTGTAATTTCGGAATCTAACTATATATCCCTCCAATGATAATAAAAAAACTATATATCCCTCCAATTTTTTTGTAGTTGATTTCTCCCCCTTTTGTCAAAATCTTACTAAAAAAATAAATGGTTCAATAACAAGCACTGTTAAATAGGACCTCTAATTAGCTAGTGATCACTTACTCAATACAATCATTTTTACTAATGTATCTTTGTCACTTAACTCTTCACAACCGCTGATGAATTTCTTCTTCACTAGACTAGAGCTATAAAACTCTATCAATTTCGATCCCCTGTACTTCATTCCAGACATTTGAAAAGTCATAATTTCATAGTGTATATGAAAAATTGACAAGAATAATCTCATCTTTCACTGGTCTTCCCATAATAATTCCACATTTACATAATCTCAAAATAATCCCACATTTGCACCTCATCTTCTTTCATCGGACCATGATCAAGTTTTTTACCCTTCTTTGAAAATCTTATATAAATAATCCCACATTTATAAAGATATAATAAAAAGTGAAAGGTGAGACTATTTATATGATTTTCAAAGAAAGATTAAAAAACTTGGTCAGAGTCCAATGAAAGAAGATGAGGTGCAAAAGTGAGATTATTTTAGAATTATATAAAGGTGAGATTACTATAAGAAGGCAACTGAAAAGTGAGATTATTCTTATCAATTTTTCCTAGTGTATACGGAGTATTCATTTTGCTATTTTTTACCCATTCCTATGTGCAACTGCACAGTAAGGCACAAAGTATAGAAACATTAATACATCTACAAGTATACAAGCTTAACATACCTTATTGGGTTCTTTACCGCTAAATAAAAAAATCAACATATGCCAACGGATCTTCATGTGTGAATAATAAAAGCTCATCACTCAAAAAACCAATAACAATTAGGGCGGTGCACGGGTCGGGTTTGGGCGGGTCGGATTTGTGAACCCTAAACCCGTTCGGGTTTTTTAATTTAAATACTAGGCCCGACCCTTTGATATTTCGGATCGGGTATTTCGGATATTTTTAAGTCGGATATTATCGGATATCGGGTCGGGTTTCGGATATTTCGGTTATATTAAAAAATATATATAATTGAATAATTAAAGTGTTTAAATTCCACTTTGACAAAAATTGTACACACTAGTGCACTAAACATCCAAATTACACAAATAATTTAACACAAATTGCACAAATAATTACACAAATAATTGAACACAAGTATTAATTTAACATATTCAAAGTACACGCTACATAATTTAATATACTTCGAATATTTCGGTTATATTAAAACACATTATAATTGGATAATTAATGTGTTGGAATGCCACTTTGACAAAAATTATACACACTAGTGCACTACACATTCAATTTACACAAATAATTTAATACAAATTGCACAATATAATTAGATTAATTACACAAATAATTGGATGCAAGTATTAATTTACCATATTCAAAGTACACACTAACATATATTTCGGATATTCGGGCGGGTCGGGTTGGGATTTTACAAACCCTACCCGCCACCCGATCTAGACCCAATATTAATCGGATTTTCGGTTTCGGGTTTTTCGGGTCGGATAATATCCGAAAAAAATATCGGGTTTTTCGGGTCGGATCGGGTTTTGCTCAGCCCTAATAACAATAGCAAAGAAAAGTGACCACAAATGGCATTTTCTAATCCAGGTCTAGTGAAAATATTTTCAGTAAT